CGTCGGGATTAATCCGTGCTTGTACATGTGTATGTATATATACATGTTTGTTTATATGTGTAATATATATATATATATATACATACATACACATGTTTGTTTCTATGTGTAGAAACAAACCCGGGTTTTGGGCCGAGTTGTTGGATTCCTGACAGGGGAAGTTCCTTCGGGAAGCAGACCTCCTTCGCCTCGTGCACTGGCCACCAGTTGTTCGGACTTGGCGCGCGGTTGGGCGTTGGGCGTTGGGCGTTGGGCGCCACCGGCCGAACTCGTTTTGCCCAAGGCGAAATGTTCCCGGCCGAGGTGTTTTTTTTGGTCCGAGTAAAGTAACTAGGTCCCCCAGTAGTGCCCTTGTACCGTTTTCTTTTTTGGTGAGGGTTCCACTACTAAAATAGACTACAGAAAAAATAGGGTACCCTTATTCCAACCTCTCTACTGGAGGACCCAGCTAAGTAAGCTTTTTGTGGGTACAACACTTGTGGGCCAAGTGGCAACCCCGGTCCCCGCAAGGTATTTTTTCCTCAGACCTGACCTGATGGCCTCAATTCAGTGGGTACCCAGCTGGCCGAGCACGCAAGTAACAAGTCGTCACCCTGTGAACTGGGGACCTCCGTTGGGTGGTTGAAAGGGAAGCCAAAAGGAAAGCCGGAAGATGGTACTGAAATCCAGTGCCTCGGGAACATGGTGGAATGAACCTACAGACCCTCCCGGCGAGCCTCCAAAACTGTCCGCGGGCGAGCCTCGCAGTCACAATCAGCTCTTGAAGTCGCCTGTCTGGGCTGTGGCCCCTGCTAAGTGCGTGGAAAACATGGGCAGGGGTGGCCAGTGCTACGATGTGAGAGACTCGTGTAATTCATGGCTGGCTCCCATGCTACGAGACACGAAGCAGGAGGAAGCCGTGATCCGGTCTTCACGCTCATCGCCGAGGTAGTTTATTGCATGAGCCTAGGCCATTTGTAGAACCAATGGACGAACCTTGGCCCTTGCGCTTGTGACCCTATGGGCCTGAATATAATATTGTTGTGGGGTACTGACATCCAATATCTAGACTGTAGACAATAAGAACATCATGCCACTATTCAGCCTTGAAAAGTAAGTGGGGCTTGCCTCTTTCTTAGCTCACTTCCAGCATTGGGCATGTCACATTGTGTCAAACAAAAGGAGAAGGTACCACGAGGATTGCAGGAAGCAGAGGGTAAGCTCACTGAGCCGAGCACCGTGTCTCCAGGCTGAAGTCGGAGTGAACCAATGGCAGAGTCTAGCTGAGTGTTTCTGAGTGTTTTGAAGACCTGGTGAACCCTGAACTAGGTCCCCCAGTTGTGCCCTTTTACCCACTTTTTTGAGGGAGGGTTCCCCTTCTAAAATAGACTACAGAAAAAGGGTACCCTTATTCTAACCTCTCTACTGGAGGAGCTAGCTGAAGGCCAAAAGTGCAATTCCGCCTTTCACTTTCGGGGTTCCACGAGTCACCCCCAGATAGAACAACAAAGGAAACCCATAGCTGTTTTGTGTTGTCAAGAGCCGGCATCGAACTTCCGTGGAATGGCCGGTTGATTGCAAATAGATAGCCCAGCATTTCGCTCAACATAGAGTTCAACATGGCGCCTGTCTCGAATCTGGGCATGGCGCTTGCATTCCATGCTTTGCATTCCCGCCTTGGCCGACAGCAGCGGCATAGACCCTTTCTTCGCGCAGGGGGGCTCGGGTCAACGTACTCCCCGCCTTTTCGGGTGAGAAAGGTGGACCCGAGCCGGCGGCGAGCGGTTCTCTCATGTCCATGGAGCCGGAGTTGAGTCCTGCGGGTTCTTGCTTCGCAGGAGATACCTTTTTGGGATCAGTAGCCCTCGCTGCGACCAGATAAAAAATGCTCTTCGATCTATATTTTTAGAAGGTTCTAGGGCGCTGGGGGGGGGCCCTAGGTTTCTTCCCGAAGTACCTCTCTGCAAATTAAGATACCCAAACATGCAGTCAGCCGACAGCAGTTTCCTCTGCACATGGGTGTTTCTTGGGCGCACAGGCGAACCCACAGGACTCCGCGTCGATTGCTGGCCCTTGCTTCCATGGCCCATAGGTATTTGGACCCAGGGCTGTTCATGAGGAGACCTGTTTCACTAGTAATAAAAGAGGTTTGAAAAGGACTATGCGTGTAGCCTCCTAGAACCCAGTTATTAGAACCCATGCCCACCATTTGGACCATGAGATGGATCGCCAAGCTTGCGCAGCTCGCTGGCCTAAGTTTTGCAAGCGATCTCCAGGCTGTTCATGTTGGAAGTCCCAGAGAGACTTCAAGTTGCAGGGGTTGGTCTCCTCTTCAAAAAGGGATGTATAGGAAAGTCGGACTGGCCAAGTTCTGTTTTCAATAGCCCAACCAGGTTTCGAGTTTCACCGAAGCCTCAGATTCCTTCGCCCAAGCAGGGGCGCGGAAAACAGAGCAGCGAGCAGAGCGGTCCGAACATCTGCTGGGTGTGTCTGTTTTTGAGGATGCCCTTTTTGGAAGGTTTTGAAGGGAAACCAAGGGAAAACCGGAAAACCTGCCATTCTGGGGGTTCCCTCATTTTGAGACAAGCCCTTGATCGATGCTCCAAATATTTCCGCAGTTGGTTGATTCAGACATGACCTTTTCGTTTGGGATGAGTTCATTTAGGTGGGTGATGTTCAGGGGAAGATTTGTTTTGGTTGGCAAAAGCACAGCCATGGGGAGCCGCATTGCCAGGTCGTTGGCTTGGCGAGTTCAAAGAAACTAGACGGAAGGGCAGGCTGCCCAACTTGTGGAGGTGTGGCGTCCATGCTGGGCATCTTTGAGGGTACTTTGTTTCTTGGTGGAAAACCAAACGGAAAACCAAAGCCATGTAGGGGATTCCTGATCAAAGAGAGCCAGGGTGTTGGGTCAGGAATTTCTGGTCGGTATCATCCAAATTCCTCGTTTCTGAGGACTCAGAGCGGAGCCAACTGACCAAAACCTGATTGTCAATTGTTAGTTTGGGGATATTGGGCGCCCGCAGCCCAATGCTCCGCAGCAGAACCCATGTTTATCATGCTCTCTTGGGGAAACCAGTCATTTTTTGGGGCTCACATGTGCTGTTGCTTGCTGGTTTGTGTAGTAGGCTATATCAGGACTTATCTGCCTTGCAAATAGAGTTGGGTGTCACTTGCGTCGTGTACTGCCTTGTCGTTTTTATGTTATTCAGTTGCCTTTGGTGTGCCTTGTCCCTGCGGCAAGTGAACGCTAAAGGTTTGTTCAATCGCGTCTAGTAAGGGTTCATCGGGGAACGGTCCCACTCAACGGGGAGAAGCGGGGACCCCAGCCTTTATGACCTTGTTTTTCGTGGTCTTTGCTAGTCTGCAGGTATCGGTTTGCGGCGGACACTTTGGCATTGTGGTCCACCCAAACTTCCCACATCCAACAGGGTGTCCCATGCACTGGTGGACGGCAAGTTGCCTTTCACATGTCTTGCGGGTTCCGCATTGGCAGAAAGGAAGTTTCTGCGTAACATTTTTGCTTCACTACTGTGGATGGAAGAAATCCTGCGCCACTTGTTTGTTGGCAGTTACAGGGCAATAATCCTTTCAGGGTTTGCTAGTTGCAGGATTTCGTCCATCCAGAGTATGATGAACAACAAACCACAGTATTCAATTCCAATAGATTTACTCAGTTGTTAAAGCCGACCTTTTGACCTTTTGGTTTTCCAATTTTGGTCCATATTTAGTCTTGGCCCCAAAAGGTTACCCTTTTAGTTCCAGGTCCTTTGACAACAACTGAGTTTATGGTTGAACGTAGACGAAGATTAGACAAGTAGTTTTGTCCAAAGCTGTTGCTGCCAGGCTGGTGCCTACCAACTGCACGACAACCTCAGCAGCTTTTGGGGCGGCTGCAGTTGGTACGCGCGGTTTCGGGCCCTCTTCGACTTGGATCGCTCGCCGTGGAGTGTCCGTGTTTTGAGGGTGGCTATAATCGAAGGGTAAGCCAAAGCCAATTCTGAGCAAGACCCACACCACTGCCGTGAGTCTGAAGAAAGGAGGCGAGAGACAATTTTGTTTGGGACCATTTGGGACAATTGGTGGTTTGCAAGTGGATGGAAGGACCGTGGTAAATACATTCATATACGGAAAGCTGGGTACAAAGCGGATCCTTGATCGCGAGCAGGCGCTTCCTTTACGTAGAAACCCCCATGGGACAAATCGGATCAGCTAGGGCTCAGCCCTCAGCCCAAGTGGCGACCGAGGGATCAGCTAGATGACTGAAAGGGATCAAACAAGGCACCGCACAGACCATCCTTTTTTGAAGAGCATCGAATGGTTCGAGTCTTTTAGCCTCTTACCCATCACTTAGCGCCGAGCAAAGCAGCTGTACCGCTTGTTTGCTTGCCGGGGGCGGGAGGGGGGATTGGCAGGTCCCGAGCGGTTTGATGCTGCATCTGCTGCATCAGCCATGATACCGGGCGGTTTCTTGGTAGCCATGATTTACCGAGTGGAACTAGCCTTCATTCATTTCACGGTTAATTCATTATATTTGCCAGTTGTAGAATGAGAGGGTTGGGGAAAGCTCGCTTGGCCGAAGAGCCAGCATGAACATATTTGACCTGCCGCTTGTCCGTGCAGCTAATCAGGCTTGCAGAGCTTGACATGGAGAAGGTTCAAACATCAAAAGGCCTAGAGCCAGCCACCATGGATACCGCATACACGACTCTCATTCGCTTGCGGCACCCACGAATTGTTCAGTGGGAATCAGCCTGCCTCAGGTCTTGAGCCAGGTTATCCAGCAAAGTCAGGTGAATGTGCGCCATGAATAGCAGATTGTCGCTCCACTTGGGGGGGTCGAGAGACAGCATGATGCCGTCAGGATTGTTTAAACATGATATGTTCTGCTTTGTCAATCAAAACTGTTTTCAAGTAACGCGCAACCCAATGACCCAATGGCCCAATGACTCAATGCTTCGTTTCAATACAATCCAAACAACAATACCACTTCACGTCTTTCAGCTTCTGCGATGACCCTGGACATGGACGCACAGCTTGAGCCTTAGCTCGGGCTAGGAAAGCGTGCCCGCACAGATGTATCCTGCACACTTCACAAGGGCACTGGTCTTCTCAGAACATATACTCCATTTGCTTACACATATGTGTCTATTTGTTTCATTTTCCCTTGTTGGCATGTTGGTCTGAAAGGGAAGTTGCATATTTCTCATTTTGTCCAGGGGGCTCAAGCAAACGGACATATATTTAATATGTGTTGGGGGTTCCAAGTTTGCCTTGGGGGACCTGGGGATCGAGCAGAAGTTTTGCAAGGACATGGGACATGGCTGCTGTTGTTGTGTGCTTACAGGGTACCCCTTTGACGGTTTCTGGGGGTTATTCAAGTCATCAAGTGAGGCTGTGTCGGTTCACCTGCTTGCGGGCTGACTTTGATGGCAAACCTATTGAGTCCGTTATGTTGTGTGTTTGTTTTCATGGCACTTGCCTTTGCAGCAGGAAGCCATTGTGAGAGCGCGCGCCCACCTGGAGTATCTACAACCTTATGCGGGCAAGAGGCAATCTTCATCATGCAACGCTCTTACGGCTTTATGGCTATTTAGTTGGATTCCTGGATCTATGGAAATTGACTTTTTGGGACCTGGTTTTTCGACTGGGGCACCACAAACCCATTTTTTTGGCAGAGGGCTCGGAAGCAACCAAGACGGGAATGACATTGTCGCCACACTGAGCAACGGTACGCCTTTGCCTTGCCTGGACTTCCTTTTCGGGTTTGGACCATGATGGCAGTTAATCGTGGCCCGTCCACGGAAAGAGCCGGCAGTTGCGGACAACTACCTGAACATTCCTCTAGACCGAACGCCAAGAAGCAAACTCTGCTTGGTGACCGGTGCCATTATTGGGCTGGGTACCTTCAAGTCTTTAATGGTGAGGCGTTCTCGAAATTGCTTTTGAGGGGTTTCCACTTCAACGACAGTTTAGAGGGAAAATGAGAATACTTCTCAATGCACCAAGTGGCCACATCTCACATTCCCCTCTTGCGGAAAAGCGAGGTGCGTCTTGTCTGACAAGACCGTGGGGCACGCCCGCAGCCTCAGGCAAACTCGCCTGCATCCGTGCCAACCCAACACTTCAATCACGGATGCCGCTCTACAACTTCAAGAAGAAAAACATCAGCCCACCAGAGGTTTGTGTGTTTTGGTTTTTACTATCATGCCCTTGTGGTCAAAAGGACACTTAGTTTCCTTGGGAAATCCGTGTTTCGGTTGAAGGGGTTTTGACGAAGCTCTTCGGTTCCATCTGCCGCAGCACCCCAAAGGGATGTTCCCGCTGGAGGCAAACCCTCGGGGTGCAATCGGAGAACCCTCCACGTCCATCCACGAAGAAACTTTCAGCTGTCAACCTCGCTGAGGTAAGTTACCTTCCATTTGTTTCGGGGATATGCGTGTCTTTCCATTTTTCCGTGTTGGTTTTAAAGGGTTCACTCTTTGGCCTTTCGGACAATGAAGGGACCAAGAAGTGTAAAACACCTCTGGGCTCATACACCTCAAGCTCGATGGGTTCAGCAACGGAATGGCCAAGCCGGCGTGTCCATGTCATGCACAAGTCGGACGACTGTTGCAGCCTCCCTTGCGCTTTCATGACGCGCAACAGAGGTGACTTGTCTTGGTCCTCGCCCTAATTTCCCCGCCTCGCCCATGCGCGGACTACCGCAATCATGATGCGAGCCCGCTACGTTTTTCCCTTCACACGAGTCTTCCACGCACCAGTGGTTGAAGCGTAGAAAGCCTCTTTGAGAGGCCCCACAAGATCTTAACTAGCATCTCTCTTACTATCTCAGGAAATGCTTCAGCTTCACAGAAGACGTAGACTTTAGTTCACTACTTGTGGTGAGGGTACTGCTGTTAAAGAAAGAAATCCTGCACCGCTTACATGAGACATTGGTTCTTCGAAAGGTACACACACACACACACCCAACCGCACAATGGACAACATTCCCGCCCTACCCTCATGCACAGCTCGCGGCCTCGCGCCCTATGACCTTTGTGTGGGTCAAGAACCTGAGGCGGTGCCGGATGTCCGTTCACCGTAGTAGACAAACGCTTTTCGGGGGAAGGATGACAGGAACCCCAAGAAGTGTAGAAGGTCGTCTTTAAGAGCGCCCCCACCCCCCTCACCCCCAATATGATTCCCCTGCTTAGATGGTCCAGGACAAAGCACCCAATGTTAATCCCTGGGACTTACGGTTTGGTGGGTTAGCAGGGTAACTATTTTGCCTCGCTTTTCCCCAACCACTTGAAATGGGGTTAACTCCAGTTTACTGTAGGAATTCTGTCGATTTCTTCAACCCACAACAACCACATGGGTATGGGTCAAATCAAGCCACAGGAATCGGACCGCAGGTTTTAGACAATTTGTTTCCAGATACCAGGGCGAGCCATTCTGGGTACCTAGCTTTGACCCACACCCACATGGCTGTGGGTCAAAACCTATGGGATCCCATTTTGGTAGGTGAATTCACCCATGTTAGAACCTATTTCAGTGGGGATAGTGGGGATTGGTTGATGTTCACTGGGGGTACGACGTGGCTTTTGACCCAGGGCCACCTTGCTCAAATTCGAGGCCACTATAACAAAAGTCTTTGGCCACCCTTGCAGTCCGAAAGGTGAGGCTTCCAGATAGCAGGACTGTCAAAATCAAACCGCGAAAGTACACCTGGAGCCACAATCAAAACAGCTGTTTCAGCCTCAAGCCTTCCCGCGGTGACAGCTGTTAGCTGTTCGGTAGGACCTGACCCCTCCTTGGTCATCACCCGGACAGTTACAGATTTGGGGACGGGGGTTGATGTTGGCCTTTCTGGTCAACTTTTTCATGTTTCCCTTATCTCTTGGAGGTGTGGATGAGGGGATTCTGGAGGAATCCCAAGTGGGAGATTGTTACTCTTTTGTTGGTCTGTTTTAGAAGATGTTCATGGTGATTTGGAATGGTGTTTATTTTTCTCCTGGAAAAGCAGCCTATTGGACCTCCCTCATCTGGAGCAGAGTGAGGACCACCAAGGACTGCAGAGTTTTTGGTTGGTATTCTTCTTCGTCGGCGGCCTATTGATGCGGTTATCGAGCACCTCATCGTCGGCGCCTTTGGTATTTTATACATTTCTCTATGCCGGTATCTTCGTGGAGGAGCAGCAATATTGATGCGCATATTGATGCTCATTCTACATGAAGCAGATGAGATAGAGGCCGGGTGTCGTATTTGGGTCCAGGGGAGGTGCAGACAGACCCCTTGGCCTGTTCTGTCCTTTACTGTCTCCTCTTCCTCAAGGTGCCGCCCAAACCTGTCAAGGTCAAAGCTCTCCTTGCCAGGCTGCTCGTCCTCCAACCTGCCCAAATTGCAAGCTCGAACAAGAAGCACCCATAGCCTGTGCAGCGCCTGCACGCATACCATGACGAGCATGGTGACCGCCGCGCCGGCAATCAACCAGCCACTCAGAAGTCTCACGGCCCTAGGGCTGCTTCCATGGCTGATGCTCCCATTCACACTGATTGAGCCATATGGGTACCCCAACAGAGAAGAATGTCCCATGTAAACGCCCACTGCATGCTCAGGGAAGCCGTTGTGGGGCGAATAGACCAATCCATTTCAAGGGTACATGAGGCCCAGATAATCACAAATAAGGGGAGCTGAAAGGGGATGCGCAATTTGCAGACATTCCAGGAGTTACATACAATATCAGTCGGTACCTTTCCTTTGTTCTTCGGCATGGAACAATCAAGGAGGGGATTACGATGGACAATGAGGGCTATTGCAAGGTGGAGGATATTCTGGCTCGAATGCCACATGCCTCGATCGACAGTGTGCTGCAGGCGGTCAAAAAGTGCGAGAAAGGAAGATTTGGGCACAACAAGGAGTTGGACCTCAGCAATGATATGCATCGACGTATCACTTAGGCAGCATGTACATTTTAGCACAACCTACTTCGTGAACCATGGGCAATCTGGCATGCGGCCGGGGTGTGACCTTGTGGTAGCGGTGAACGTCAAGCAATTGCTTGATGCAGAGGTGCCCCTGTTCAAGTCTACCAATGGGGTCTACTTGGTTGGCCAGGATCTTCCACCGGAGCTTCTTTATAGCGTGTATTGGGCTCGTGGACCTCACGACTACAGGATGATCTGGCAATATGGATATTGCGTTCTACATGAGCAGATTGACTGACGATCTCTTTGCGGCCAAATGCCGGAGACTAGGTCTAGAGCCCTGGGGATTTTCTCAACCCCCAGCTGGCGGCGAAGAAAGAGAAGAAAATGAAGATGAGATGGAGGAGGTCCTTGTGGAGAAGGAGGAACCGGAATCGCATGCATATGAGGAGAACCCTGCAGATGAGGAGTACGCTGAGCCTGCGGATCAGGCCTCAGGTTCCGATGGTTATCGTGGCTTGGGAGAAATGTGGAACCTTTCAGATGAGCCATCATGGCAGAGGATCGGCACAATTCAGGCAAAGCAATATTTGGTGGGGCAAGCCTTTTATTTGGGTATTTGGCTGCCTTATTTATCTTGGTGTGAGCGCATTGGAGCCTATGGTACAGCTGGGCTTCATTGGTATTTGCAACATCGAGGGAGGTGGAGGAGATGATTATTCATACTATTCCACTGACGAGGAGGAGAACGCGCATGGCACCCTTTTGGAGAAATCAGAAAAGAGAGAGCCGGCGTGGAGAAAGCATGAAAGTGCACTTCGCTGACACCAGGACAGTGACTACGGCCCCGAGGTATGAACGACCTCGTGAGGGCACCCCGCCTCCGGCTAGGACAAGTGGAGGAGAACAACAGCTTCACAAGAGGAATCGGCGCAAGTCCAAGAAGATCTTTGTTGAAGACACTGATCCTCGGCCCCCCTCCCCCGCATAAGACGGGTTGAGACGTGGCGGAAAGACGATCCCATGCTGGGCATTGATGGACGCCCGGCATTGCCTCGCAAAAGATCCTTACATGGGGGTATGCTGGAACAGGAGGTACCTCTGGACCTTATGACACTGGCGCAATATTTGCAGCTCACCCCATTCAATGATGAAATTAGGGTCCTTTTTCCATTGGATCAGTATAGGACATATGCTTGAATTGTGGCTGAGAAGACCCGAACAATTATGGCCCTTACCAAAATGTCTGAAGCCCAAGTGCCGGGCCTCAAAACTGCGTGTCGGAAACTCATGGGTACAGTGCAGCAGACGAGGGCCATTGATCAAGAAGATGAAAGGGATGTCAAAGACGCTGTTGCTCTGGCCACTTTGCATGTGTCTGAAGAGGACCAACAAGCTCTTATTGACAAGTTTGTGAGTTGGAAGATCAAACCAATGCATTTCATCCCGGAAAGCTCATCGGCCACGATTGCAGGTATGCTTGGGATTGATGAGTATACTGTTGAAAAAATGAGATCCATTCTCCTGGATTATTTCAGTTTCCCCCCAAAGACTGACCCAGCGTTGGGATGGTACTTTGATATTAGAGGCAGGCAGCTTATTGGATCCCTCCAGCGGGAAAGCTATTTTGGGCTGGTTGGAGGGGTCGGGACGAGGAGTCTATCACCTCTGATTCCTCAGCCTTTCACATGCTTGACAGATGTAGGGATGCCCAAACTGCCTTTGATGAAGCTATTCAATTGCAAAGCACTCTGAGGAAAAGAAATCGAAGAATGGCTAGATGCTTAAAAAGACAACAAGAAGTCATTGAAGAGCAGCAAGATACTATTCGTAGGCTCCGACTTACCCTTTTGCAGCTTCAACCGGCTCCCAGATCACCAGACAGGATTGCAGGAGATTCTCGACCCATCCCTGTTGGTGATATTGAGGTTTCCCCAACAATTCCTTTCACTGTTGATGGGGGGAATTTTGGACCGGACCGTCGGCGCGACAGGTCGAGCAGATTGGCTACACAGCCCTATTGTGTCGCCTCTGGACGGCTTGAAATCGACAGAGGAACTCGCGCTACCCCAGCAGTATCCTATGATCCTATTGGAGATTTCTCAGACCTGGAAGGTGGTATTCTTATTTATCAGATGAGGTGGTCTGATGCTGGTATGATGGACATCT